TCATATTAAATTTTTTTATCTTATTTTAAAAACGTTAAATCTCATTTTAAATAAATCACCCTGAAGTTGAGATCTTTCTCACAAAAGGTTCTACACGCCTGACTTGATTTTTAAATTATTGAAAAAACACTTTCAGACACTTTCTTAAATATTAACATACTCTCTTAAACTTGGCTTAATTTTGTATATTTAAATTACCTACATAATGATTCACTTACACATTAATAATTTAGTTTAATTTCGAAAAATGAATTAACTGTAAAATTCATTTTTCTCTCATTATAATATGTATAAATGATTTGAAATTCTATACTTAACATAGATTCTATTCTATAAATGGTCATAGTGCAGTTAAGTTGATTTAAAATAAGCATGTGTTCTTTAAGTGTAATAAAAATAATTATAAGTGTTTTAAGTTGAACATTAAAAATAAGTTGTGTATAAAAATAATAATTATAAATGAATTAATAAATAATAATAAATTAATAATAAAAGAACATTTTAACTTAAAATAAAATTGTTGCGATTTGTCGTCTTCTTGTTTAAATCGGCAGAAAGCCATGCAACTTCAAAATTTATTTGACTGTATTATCTCTGAAACAATAAAAGCTGTGATATTGAAATTTCACCCAAGTGAATATAATAGTAGGGCCAATGTGTTTGATAAACGTCGTCGAAATTGCTTGGCTTCTTCTGGTAGCTACCATACAACTTCAAAAGTTATTTGACTGTATCTTAGAAAATATAAAAGCTGTGATATTGAAATTTCACACAAATGAATATAGTAGTAGGGCCAAGGTGACTGATAAAAATTGTCGAAATTGATTGGCTCCTTGTGGTGGCTGCCACACAACTTCAAAAGTTATTTGGCTATATCTCAAAAACTATAAAAGCTGTGATATTGAAATTTCACACAAGTGAATATAATAGTAGGGCCAATGTGTTTGATAAACGTCGTCGAAATTACTTGGCTTCTTCTGGTAGCTATCATACAACTTCAAAAGTTATTTGACTGTATCTTAGAAACTATAAAAGCTGTGATATTGAAATTTCACACATGTGAATATATTAGTACGGCCATTGTGATTGATAAAACTTGTTGAAATTGATTGGCTTCTTCTGGTATCTACCATACAACTTCAAAAGTTATTTGACTGTGTCTCAGAAACTATAAAAGCTGTGATATTTAAATTTCACACAACTGAATATATTAGTAGGGCCAATGTGCTTGATAAAACCTGTTGAAATTGCTTGGCTCCTTATGGTGGCTGCCATTCAACTTCAAAATTTATTTGGCTATATTATCTCAGAAACAATAAAAGCTGTGATATTGAAATTTCACACAAGTTAATATAATAGTAGGGCCAATGTGTTTGATAAACGTCGTCGAAATTTCCTGGCTTCTTCTGGTAGCTTCAAAAGTTATTTGACTGCATCTCAGAAACTATAAAAGCTGTGATATTGAAATTTCACACAAGTGGATATATTAGTAGGGTAAATGTGGTTGATAAAAGTAGTTAAAATTGATTGGCTCCTTATGGTGACTGCCACATAACTTTAATTGTAATTTGGCCATATCTTAGAAAATATTAAAAACATGGTACTGAAATTTTGCATAAATTAATATGGTAATACGACAATTTAAAGTTATAGCTTGTCCCATAGTCATATATTTATTCGCACATAGGATAACAAATTCGTACGGATATCACAGAGTTGACGGGGTCAACTATATTTTTTTATGCTCCAGTACTCATAACTCACAGAGAGTAAATTATTTTTGTTAAAATTTTTACATGTAATAATATTTGCGCAGCCAATGTTAGTTCCCCGATTATAAAAATTGTTTTTTTTTTTTGTTCGCGTTGAATTATCTTAAATTTTTAACGCCTTTGATATAATATGTGATGCATGTAATTGTGTTATATATATACATGATAGTGTTATTATAACCAAACATGAAATGAAGAAAACGTTGTATAAATATTATTTGAAAAATATCTACTGCAATTACACATATCAGCGGCACACAGGAATTGTAATGTGCATCATATCAACTTTTTAGCACTTTTCCAAAAATTTTTTGAAAAAAAGTGCTTATTAGTTTCACTCTGTCCGTCCGTCCGTCCGTCCGTCCGTCCGTCCGTCCGTCCGTCTGTCCGTCCGTCCGTCCGTCCGTCCGTCCGTGTGTCTGTTTACAAAACTTCTATACCCTTGAAGATAGAAAGCTGAAATTTTATATGTACATAGATCTTTACTAGAAACTTATTTCTGTAGAACAAAATTTTTACCTATCTCCTCCCCTCTAGAAGTTATACCCCCCCAAAACCCTAAAAATGGCCTTTTTTAACTATTTGTTGCAATGAAACCATAAGCATTTTTGAAATTTTGCAAACGCAGAAAAGCAGCGGCTTGCTTCCCCTAGCGCGGCATACTATATTTGAACTTTAGAAAAACAAAATGGCCGTTCAAATTTACCGTTATCTAAAGTCCTTTTTTTGCAAATTTTTGATGTCGTTTTTTTCCAAGCTACAGCCTGTAGAAGCTTGAAATTTTAGGTGCTTTTAGACATTATCAAATAGTTCATTTCGCTAGAAGAAAATTTTTTTCCATCTCCACCCCCTCTCAAGTTATCGCCTCTTGAAATTTGTAAAATTTGAATTTTTGACACCTTATATTTCCGAAACCGCAAGCTTTTTCAAATTTCTATTAACGCAAAAAGTTAACGGTAAATTCCATGAAATTAAAAAATATAATTATTTTTCTTAACTCACAAAATTAAACCTTAAAATCGAGCATTATGTTAACCCCACTTTATATTAATTTTTGCTTCATTTCAAAGACTGCATAAATCATTCATCCTAAATATATGCAACCCTAGAAATAGTTTTGTATATGAATGAAAATAATTTTAATAGTGTGATAGGTACATAGACTACATAGACTGTATTTAAAAGCAAAATTTTCATTTGTTGAAGGGAAAAGTGCTACAATACAAACCATTGGTTTGACCCAACTTTATTATATTTTCAATATTTTTATTATTTAATAAATATTTTTATTTTGTTAACTTTTCATATTTTATCAATAAAATATCGTTTATTGTTTCTAACTTCTTGAGTTTCACATGCTTAAGCGAAAAAACATTTTTGACGGTTGCGAATAAACTGGCAAGTTGAGATATTATTTTTGAATATAAGTATAAGTATTGTTTATATGAACAATACTTTTACTTATATTGTGTTGTTTCATGTCTTCAATGTACATCACGTTTTCACGAAATATTTTGAATGAAAAAATAGGATATAGAAACAAAAAGAAAAATTTTCAAATTTCACTAATTTTCAAATTAATTTTTATATTTAGGAAAATAATGTTATGAAATTCATAAAATTCAAAAATATATTTTTCCCTTTTTGCTCATTTATTTATATCAATTTATTAATACTTGACAAAAATCGATGATTGGACGATAATATTATATCGACTTTAAAACCATCGATAGTTGAAAACTATCGATAGTGTCATCGATAGTTCTCCACCTCTATGTAATACTAATTAAAAAACTTTACCAACTCAATCCCCTCGCAAGTTATTTGGAAATAAAAAATTGAAAAAATTAAAAAAGGGAAAAATTTGATTTTTCCTAAAGTTCGAATGATTGGTATTCCGAAAGTACACAAAATACATAATCAAGTAATGTGTTTGTTTTAAGCCCTTCACTAGACCTTTCAGAAACTGTTTGTTTGATGACCCTATCTTTTTCGGAACGGAAGTTATAATCAAAAAAGCTTAGATAACCAAAAATTTCGTGAAAATTCGCTAAAATCCCTGTATTTCGAAAACCCTTGAAATTTCGCACCTACGCCCGAACAAAAGTTTTACCCATTTTCGACCCTCTAACCAATGGTTGTTGTATACCTTTCTGAATCACCCAGTATATATATGTATGTTTACTGCCCTAGTAAGTATAAGACCACCACAAAGCATGTATGTATGTATGTATATAAATTAAAAGTTACAGAACTAATGATAAAATCACATGCTGCTCCTCTTAATGGTCAATAGGTACATTAGTTATTAAAAATTTCGAAGCTCATTTTTTTTATTTGGTACACGGAAAGTAAAAATATATTTTTTTGAAAAAATAAAATGCTGGTGGCAATTTTAATTTCAATATAGTATATTATAAATACATTATGTTCTATATGTAATAGATTTTTATTGCAAATATTTCTATTTTGCCCTAAGTTTTGAAACGCTTCTAGGATGTAAATCTAGTATCTAGGTGTATATATTTTATGTATTTTGCATATACCGGTTTTTTCTTTTATACAAACATTTGCACATGTGGTAATTTAGTTTTATTCATGTTTTACTTATGTAAAAATAACTTCTATTTAAAAAAATATCAGAAAAAATATAGCGCATTGAAAAATAAAACAGCAAGGTCTTTTAAGTAATGTTTTTTTTTTAATTTTTAGCTTGCGAACTCAAAATTTTATGTTTAATTTATATTATCGGTTATGTAGATCTATTGCAAAAAACATATTGCTTTACCTTTAACTAATTTCGAAGTTATCATAAATATTCGCCAGACCGAATTTTTTCCTAAGAAATTTAAAGAAATTACTATCCGAGAGCTTTAGGGAGCACCAGATTCGGAAAACCCTATTTCACTCCGGACTGAAAATTTTACTAATTTTTGATGCACCTAAGCAATAACTATATAATTATTGTGTACCTTTCTGACACCAAAATTAAACTAATATCAATAAATTAAAAATGTGGTTTAAAAAGTAATTTATTAAAAATAAATTTGGAAGTAATTTTTTAAAAATTCATTGCAATAATTTAGAAAAAGATATTAAAATAAAATTTTTTAAATTTTTTATATTTCATAGTTTATATCAATGACATGTTTTCAAGAGCAAACTCACTTCAGTCATAAATTCAACATTCTGACAATAATAAATTATTTATGTACATATAAAAATTACCTGGAACCGAATATTTCCAGATTAAAAATAAACCAATTAGCCTCAAAATCATGGTATTATTTGTGCAATACATTCCCTTCTTTTTTTTCTTCAAGAAATTTGAAAGCTGAATTACAGCTTTCGACATAATTGGAATCAGAATTAGTTTAACTTCAAAATTTTTATAAGTTTTATACAATTTATTCAATATCACTACGTCTGAAATGCAAAATTTCTCTGGATTTTAAAAAAAAATGTTAAACAAATTTAATCATATATTATAATTTTAAACTAACAACAATTTTTATATTCCGTTAAATTTCTTTGTTTAATAATTATTGTTAATTTTTATAAAGAATTGTTCACTATTTGTACTTCTACCATGTATGTAGGTTTGTAGAAATATGTATTTAAAATATGTGAGATGACGCAAACTAAACTTTATTTTGTTAAACTAGTGCAATTTAAAAAAACAAAATGTGTAATATCTGTTCAGCTATTCTAAGAACACTGAAGTTTTGAAAAATAATAGTTTTTATATCAGTTTTTTAAGATGTACCCTACCTCATAGAACACAATGTCTTATGATGTCTCCTATTGCAAATTACCAAAAAAAAATTGATGTAAAATACTAATTTTTGCTTTCTTTATTTCTTTATTTTGACAATTCAGTTTTTTGTAGAAGATATTATGTAATTATACAAATTCAGCGGTTTTCTTACGATTTCAGTACAATTTCATGTTCTTGGAAAGTAATCTGATTTAAATTGAAAGCTTATAAAAAATAACAAACGAACGGACTATTTGTAATAGCAAAATAAATTATATTTCAAAAGAGACTAAATTGCGCTTACACTATACACAAAAACACAAAGTTTCATGTGAGCTCTAGAAAATTTATTTTATTCTTTAAGGTTTGGCTGAATAAAAACATGTGTTAACATCAGATTTTTATGATGTAAAATCTTCACATTGGCTATATGTACGTATATGCATGTATATTTTGACCTTTTTACCGACCGTATTGTGTAAACAATAGGTAGGTTATGTGATGGCAACAAATTTTGCATATCGAGTTTTCGGTGGGAACGTACTTCTCCATGGTAGGGAAGTGTAAATAAACTATTTTTAGCAACCTGTCGGTCTGTCGGTCTGTCGGTCTGTCGGTCTGTGTGTGCACGCGTGTATCTCAAGTTCGGCTGAACCGATTTTGATGAAATTTTATATGTAAGTTTGTTTCCACCATGGCACGGATCGATCAACTTTTGGTATGTATCAGGCCTCGGGAACTGCACTTTTCAGCGGGCCTGTTTTACTTTTTTGAACATTTTGAAGAAAGTATTCAACCGATTTACTTGAAATTTTATATATAAGCTCAGCTCAACCGTCCGCAAAAATTCGTATGTTTTGGAAGAAATCAGGCATCGGCAACTAGACGTTTACTACGGGCCAAATATACATTTTTGTGTATATAAAGAGAAATAATCAACCGATTTCATTGAAATTTAATATATGAACTCCTCGTATTAAAACAATGAACATATAGATTTTTTGGAAAGATCAGGGCTCGAAAACGGATTTGCGGGCCTATTTTACATTTTTCACCATTTTGAAGAAAGTATTCAACCGATTTACTTGAAATTTCATATATAAGCTTTGCTCGATTCTACGCAAAAATTCCTAACTTTTGGAAGAAATCAGGCATCAGCAACTGGGCGTTTACTACGGGCCAAATATACATTTTTGTGTATATAAAGAGAAATAATCAACCGATTTCATTGAAATTTAATATATGAATTCCCCGTATTAAAACAATGAACATGTAAATTTTTTGGAAAGATCAGGCATCGGCAACTAGACGTTTACTACGGGCCAAACATACATTTTTGTGTATATAAAGAGAAATAATCAACCGATTTCATTGAAATTTAATATATGAACTCCTCATATTAAATCAATGAACATATAACTTTTTTTGGAAAGATCAGGGCTCGAGAACTGATTTGCGGGCCGATTTTACATTTTTCACCACAGAACAAATTGATGGAATTTCTTGAAATTTGATATTTGAGTTCTGGTTGTTACCGAAACTAACTGGCGAGCATTTCAGGGAATTCGGGTAGCACAAAACGAAACTCTTCTAAGAGCCAAATTTACATTTTTCTAAGTATGTTAACTATAAGCTTACTAATGTCCCAAAAATTGGAAAGAAGTATTTAACAGACATTTTTATAATATTCTGTAACACTTTCATTTAACTAGACAATACACAATGCGGTCGGTTATGTGCTGACCACATCAGATTTTTTTTTGTGTTAACGTGATATACCCAAAATTTTCACTAGAGATTAGAGGCCATATTCTTATTCTAAAGTGTGAAGAAAAGTAGACATCCCACCCATATTAACTTAGTGAAGTGTTATAATATCACTAAATATTGGACTACATAATATGTTTGGTTATGCTGTTGTCAATAGCGATTTCTGTATGCAATAAGGCCTTGACATTACAAAAAATTAAGACATACATTAATATTTTTGTATTTGATTCTATAGAATAAGGTTTTACTGGTATTACAAAAATTGAGACTATAGTATTTCTTTAGCCCATATATAAATTTCATACGGAAAGGCTGTGTCGTTGAGCGGTAAAATAATTTATTTACTGTTTAAAATTTAATTTTAATTTAAATTTAATGAACAAATATATTAATTTTTTGTGTTATTAAACAAAATGATGATTTATGATTTATATAAATAATTTTTTTTCATTTGTTCGTAATTTCTAGTTCCTTATTTATGAAACAAAGGTGGATTTTGAAAATATAGTACTAAAGTTTATTTAAAAAGAAAAAAATGACTTAATAAATTAGTAAGATTTGGTGCATTTTTAAAAGTTTTTATAATGCAGAAGCAATACTCTACGAGAAAAGCAGAACGTAAATGTTATACCTTCATTTACTTTTCCAAAGAACGAGATCATCAGGGATAAATGGCACCAACGAAGTATTTTTAATTTGTAAGAGCTTTAAATTTTATTCTGTTATTTATATTATTTAATCAATTACCTACTAATATTAAGATTTTAACAATTTAAATAAGTATGCAATTTAATCTCTAATAAAAGATAATTCAATAATTTTGTTTAATTTAAGTTAGTACATACATAGTTATTTATATGATAAAATTTGTAGGTTTTCTCATCAAATATTACTGGTTTTAAAAAAAATGGAATAAAAATTTTATTTTTTTATGTAAATATTTTATGTAGATAATAAAAAAAAAGAATTTAAATTTTTTTAAAAGAATTGTTTTATGTATTTACTATTTTTATTTTACCAAAAATGTTTTGTTACCTACTGCCTGTAATTTATTACCTGTTATTTATTCTAGTTTGTGAGGACATGAAATTTGATTTTTTTATTATTTAAATGAATAAAGATAAATTCTGTATATACTTTGCATTTAATCAGTTTTATTTTCTAAACATCCCAAATCACCATGAACATTTCCAATTTATTTAATAAAAAATACCTAATATAAAATATATTTCTTAAAAAAAGTACGTTGATCAGCTTTCAATACACCGTATGTATGTTTAAGTAAATTGTGTATTGCGAATGTTTGTGCCTGGGCCCTGGTTTTTTCTGTGAATGTTTTTGTAAAATTGCATATGAATTTGGGGCGAAATGACGTTTCTAAAAAATCATTTTTTTTGTTGCTTTTTTGGAAAAATTATGATTTTTGCCAATTTCCATTTTGAGTTTACTATGCGAAAAGTTAATTAAAACCTAAAAATATTTACCCAAAAATGTAATTTGGAGCTTTTTGACCAACATTACAAAAATTCGAATTTCGACTGAAAACTTTAACTATAATTTTTTATTAAATATATTTTCGAGTTTTTTCAGCATTTTTTGTACCGCCATATCAGACAACTTATCTGAGAAAATTGAGAGTACAAAATGATAATACAGTGAATAAAAAAACATTTGGTGCTATATTTTTTAGTTTAGAATACACGACTTAAAATAAAATCAATAAAAAATCAATAATAAATATTTTGTATAAGAACAACCTACAACATAATAACAAGTCTATAACAAACATAATAAAAACTTGTATATTTTTTAAAGTTTATAATGAGGTAGTTTAGGTAAACCAGTGCATTAGCCTTACTAAGAATGTGAAAATATTTCTTAATAAAATTAAAGTTATATACATACATACCTAAAAAGAATTATGTATATGAATTTTTAATATAAAAAGAATTCACATATGCAATAATTTTTATGAATTATGAAGCATATAAATTTAATTAATATAGTATACATGTGAAAAATATATGGATATATGTATATGTGATTATATCATAAGTATGCATTTTGGGAGGCATATCATACAAAATTAGCAAATCGTTAATATCAAATGTACATTTTTTTCAAACTTAATACTACGAAAAAAATTACAGTATTTCTTTCTTGTAGTGTAGCATTTATCAAAATGTTAGAAAAAGTACCGAGCCTGAAAGGTTTTTTTAAAATAAATTTTTAATTATTTTAATAGCACAGGACTTTAAGAATGTAAGCACTAATAAAGTAGAAGATTGAATTTTAACATTTTCTAATTAAAAATTTGAAAAAGTTGATCTTATGAAGATTTATGAAGTTAAAAAGGGTCCTCTACAGATCACATAAGAATACTTGTAAATTCGTCAGTGATAAACTGTCTCTCTCCCTAAGAGCCCAGGCATGTATTTCTGTCAGTCGTGAATAAGATTTTAAATCTAGATTATTACATAGCAATTAGAATATTACGAATTATCTAACGTGTCGTAGAAGATTTTTTGCAGAATAATAAAACATCGCTCAAGTGACACTAATCGCATGACGTCGTTTGCAAAATAATAGTGGTTGGTATTGGAATATTGATGGGAAAAGTCTGATTTGCTTACGAATCGCAGTTAAATCACAAATTCAGCAAAAACATTCATATATACTTTACTAGTAATTTAACAAATCAATGTAAACATAATTTGCAGAGTTTAAGTTTATTTTTTAACTTGCACGTTGACCATGGCGTTACTATTATTATCGGATATGGATTGGATATTCTAAAAAAATGAGGCTTTAATACAAAACAGAAATAAATCATACCTTCGAAAACATTAACTTAACCAAACTTGTTTTTAGGAAATTATGTATATATGTTGTTTGTACATACATATGTATATAATTACGATCATCTATGAGATCAATCCAATCGATCACATAGCCAATCAAACCAATAGTTTCCACCAATATCGATGGGTGTAAAAAGACACGGTACATTCTATACTATCTGGAACGACATAACTA